TGCTGCAGCGCATTCTGCAAACCTGTGGGCGAGATATGGAATGTGGACAACCCAAAACCATCAACTCTAAACAACAACCAGAATGGTTTGATCAAAAGTGTCAGACTCTTAAGCATAAAAAAAGTATAAACTGCTTAATGTGTTTAGAAAAAAACAACAGCATTTGAGAATCTGAATAGATACAAAGACATTGGATCTCAGTTCAAACAGACTTGTAAAACTTAAGAAAGACAGCTATAAACGTTCCATTACTAAAACAAATACATGATGCAGCTTGTTCCAGAGACTGCTCAGCAATTTGTCGATATGTGAAAACAACTCGCGCCATGGAAGATAGTGTGACACCATCAACATGGGCTGAATACGTTAAGGACTTGATAAACCCAACGTTGCCAGAAGATGACAACTTTTCAGAAAAAATGCCAAGTCATATATTGATGGACATGACTTTAATACATGTGTTGATTGTATTAATGACGCTGATATTCTATCATGTTTGTATCAATGACGATGGTATTCTATCATGTGACTTTATAGATCAGCATGCAATAAATGCTATCAGATATCTTAAATGTAACACAGCCCCAGGCAATGACTGTATCCCCGCAGAGTTTTTCAAAATTTCCGAACATATTATAGTTCCCTATTTAGTATCACTGTTCAATAAGATACTTTGATCCGGCTTTTGGTCATATTCCCTGTCAACTGGCATTATATACTCTCCCCAAAAAGAAACGCATCTTGAAAATTGCAATTTCATGTAGCAATGAATTAAAACGTGATTCATTTTACAAAAGGTTTTGCTCTGTTTATGAGTCCTATGGTGTTTACGTTTTGAACCATCACAACAAAACGCACCATCCGTAAAATACCAGTATTTAACAGCATGATTTTCAATTTCGGAGTGTAGTCTCACAGAATACACAATTCGCATGCAATGCACGTGAAAGTTGGGGATCAGATAGTCTCAATGCTGGGTATAAAATGTTGATCGCTGTCGGACGATTATTCACTGTATTTGGAATATTGTTGACGAACGCAAAATGCCACGTCTAAGTGAAGCCAAACGTCATATCGCCATTGGTTTGCTTGAAGCTGGCCAGTCTCAACGTGCAGTTGCCCGACGCATGAATGTTCACCAAAGCACCATTTCACGGCTCTGGGAGAGATATCGCAAGCGGAATTCGATAACAGATGCCCCTCGTAGTGGACCACCTCGACCGACCACTGCGGCGCAGGATCGCTACATCCAGGTACATGACCTGCGTCATCGAACAGCTACGGCGACCAGTACCGCTCGACAAATACCCGCATTAAGGAGGCTTTCTGCACAGACCGTCAGGAACAGGTTGAGAGAGGCTGGTTTTGTTGCCAGAAGACCTTTTTTTGGCCCTGTGCTTCGACAACAGCATCGTCGACGTCGAGTTCAAAGGTGCACCAACGTTCAGGCATGGAACCTACCGAATTGGCGTAGAATCTGGTTCAGTGATGAATCACTATTTGTATTGGAACGACGCGATGGAAGAATGCGGGTGTACAGACGTCCACATGAACGTTTCGCCGACGCTTGCGTTCCCCAGGTGGACAGATTCGGCCGGGACAGTGTTATGATGTGTGGTGCCGTAGGAGAAGTGATTTGGTGATGATCCAGGGCAACCTGACAGCTCAACGGTACTGTGACGAAATCCAGCATAGAGTCTTCCTCCAGAACCACGACGTCAATGTGTCCCCCTGGCCCTCAAGATCATCGGACTTAAACCCTATGGAACATCTGTGGGATGCCCTGGACAGACGGGTGCGACGTCGTAGCCCTCAGCCCCAGACACTTCAGCAACTCGCACAGGCACTACAGGCAGATTGGGCTGCGATTGGGCAACACGAGATTCTGAGACTTATTCGTTCGATGCCGAGGCGATGCCGTGCAGTTCTGGATGCCCACGGTGGTCACACGAGGTACTGACTTCAGCGCCACCACACGTCTCCATGTGACACTTAAACTGACTTTCCTCGTGTTTGTGCCAAAGACGGATAGGTCTGCATTCCCAGTGTGCAATTTCGCTATATTTCATTTACTCATAAAGCCTACAAGATGTTTCAAAATAAGCATAAGACTACAGTTGAAATTCCTATGTGTGTTTCTTTTTGGGAGAGTATATTATTATCCCACTACATAAGAAATGTAGCAGATCTGACCCGAATAATTATAGGGGGATCTCTCTTCTGAATGTAATGAGCAAAATATGTGTTTCGGTTCTAAACAAAAAGATTGGAGTACTTCTTGCAACTTCGTGAGACAATTGGAAAATAACAGGGTGGATTCAAAACAGACCATTGGACTGTGGACAGTATCTTTATTCTCCAGACAATCATTCAGAAGTATTAAACACGTAAAAATGGGGAGATATATATTGCATTCATAGACTTTCTCAAGGCCTTTGACGTGGTGAATAGGTTTAAATTACTGTATGTTCTTTTGCAAAATGGGATCCATGGAATTTTGTTCAAGTTGATTAAGAATATGTATAGTAATGTCAAGGCCACTGTCACCTATGAGTATGGTAAGAAATTAACTGAATATTTTGATAGCGCTTGTGGGGTTCGGCAAGGCTGTGTCTAGTACGGTATTATTTCTTTTATATATTAATGAGCTTGCACTGACCTTAGAAAATAAGTTTGATGATAGTATATTTATCTCCGAAAATATGTTGAATATTACTGCTCAGTTATTTGCAGATGATTTGGTTTTGATAGCGGATATTGTTGTTAGATTACAGCGCTGCCTTGACGCCCTACATGTGTATTCCAATAAATGCGGCATGGATATAAATACTGATAAAAGTAAAATAATTGAAAAGACATGATGGCATGGCTCGCTGCTTTTATTACCGTCTTCGCCATGCCTGTGACCTTGACTCCCAGGTCCATCCATGGTACGACCCTGAACATGTCCAGGGCGTCATGGAAAATGATGCTTTCAAACTTTTGTGGAATAGGCCCATATACAGCCTCAGAAGAATTCCTGCCAACAAACTTGATCTTGTCCTTTTTGATAAAGCCAATGAATTTACTGGCGCAGATCAGGAGAGTGCCCGGGTTCTCCACCGGGAGAACAGCCCTTCTGACACTCGGGGTAATGCAGAAGAGAGGGTAGAGGGGACTAGCTTAAGGGCCCTGAGCTGATGATGAGCCTTACCAGCTTGACTGTGCCAGGATCACCCGAACCCTCTCTGCTGCATACTATCTTTAATCTGTAAAACATGATAATAAACGTTGTTATGATTAAATATATAGTACAGAAAGAACTGTCACATAGCAAAGAAAAGGTTTATTATGTTTCTGAAGCTGCATTAATACAATTCTGGGAATCTGTTAAATACAACTAAGAACAAGAAATCATCATCAAAGGTCCAACTGATGTTACCGAATACTGTTCTTATTTTGCCACATATGCAGAAGCTTTTGACCATGTATCGTTTATCTTATTGTCATTTCTAAACACATATATTTTCTTTGCAATGTTCTTAATTTGCGAAAGTTACCCCAATCAGCAGACAGATTGTTTATGATTTTATCAACACCGTTATGGTTTCCTTAGCCAGTAATCCACACTGGACAGCTTGGTCTAACTGTAAGAGTTATGTTTGGGTTATGATCATTGCATATGTTTACAAAGGTCTGGCAGAAAGGCACTGCTATAGTCGCAATATTATTTTGTCACGCATCTAAAGTGAAGGATTCGATAAATTTATCATTATCCATTAAGCTATAGCTGAATATTTGCGTTTTATACATTGTAGAGATATAGTTCCTTTGGTCGTTACGAGTGAGTGAGTGAGTTTAGTTTTACGCCGCACTTACCAATATTCTAGCTATATGGCGGCGGTCTGTAAATATTCGAGTCTGAACCAGACAATTCAGTGTTCAACAGCATGAGCATCGATCTGTGCAATTGGGAACCGATGACATGTGTGAACCAAGTCAGCAAGCCTGAACACCCGATCCCGTTAGTCGCCTCTTACTTGATCGTTACGAATTACGATAACTACATATAAGATCAGAAACTCCTGAAATTCATCAGCAATAGTCACAAACAATAAATTGGACAAAGCTGAAGACGAAGGTGTGGTCCTAGTCGTCTCAGTAATGAGCTGGGTCAATTCGTACATTGTCTCTAGGGTTTCAATTTTATGCTTATTAAATTTTCACAATATGGCGAATTTTATCTCTTGCTATGATGATTTGTACATGTTTCTAATAGGTTGATCTCCCAGTATGCCTCGCTCTTATCTACACAGTGAAGAGTCCCACTGAGTATGTTATCATTGGGCATCATGCAAACACAGACAAATAATGATGGAAGATGAAAACAAGGCTGCTACACAACGGATGGAAAGATAAACAAGATACAAAGTGAGTATAACATGCAATTTAACATCATAATCTTACTTTGGTGGGAAATCAAACTTAAATAGCAAGACTTAACGACAGAGTGAAGTAAGTGATGGCATTATCTGTGATGGCCTGGATCACCGAATTGATCAAGAGAGTTGTGGAGAGAAACTAGGCTGTCAGGCTGTTTAGAGAGTGGTGAGAAAGGAGTCGCTGTCATTTTGTAAAATGTCTATCTTCCTTCAATGCTTCCTGTGTAGCTGTAGTGACCCGTGACACCGGGTGTCAGTATTGTTAAGGGTAGTAGGAAAGAAGGGTCTCTTACATTTCCTCCTGTATCTGCGTACGCCTCACATACACTAATTACTTTCAACACTTTAATGTAGAGTGACAGATATGACACCAGGTGTCCATATATAGTACATAGTAGTGGGATTATCTGCCCCTGCTTATATGTTTAGACACACACACACACACACACACACACACACTTCAGTGGGCATTATGTTGCTGTATACTGTCAGGGCTCACTGCCTCCAGCATGCCAGTGTTGTTGTCGACCCTGAACACTCGACCTGTATGCACGAGGTGTGACAAACGCATCCGGTTTGTAGATTACGGGAAGGCACGAGTTATACCGAAAGTACTTGAAGTGACATCAGGAAGAAACAGTTCAGGGCAGTGTGAGGCGTCCTTGTAACCCACCCGGATCTCGGAGGAGAAAACTGACACTGGTAAGTCAGCTTGCCCGTCTGTCCTAAGACAAGAACATTCCAGCATGTTGAGTTTTCGCCACAACAAATCACTTACAAAGTGATGACAGTATGATTTATTGACTATATTCTAATTTGGGTTTAATTTGCCCCGAAATACAATTACAACGGTTGTCAATGACAACAGTAGTAAAAGTCAGCTACAATGATATCCATGTACCTACAAAAGTAGCCATGCCTCAAACTAGGCCGAGGCTGGATATCAGGGTTGAGCGCTTCACACAACCGCTGTCAAGTCAGAGCGAACACAGACCGAACACCTTGGATAGAGGCTATTTTGAGAATGTAGAGATATAGGGGCTTCACTTTATTGTAGCAGTTATCTTTAAATGCGATGTACCGTGACAGTAATATCAGTCAGAGACGTAACGTGTACGCGAGACGGACTATCGTCTCTTGCTCTCGAGACGGGTGCGGAAAGTGTCTCGAAACCTCCAATATGTTTTGAATAAACGATGAATTAACTTTCAGAAATTTTAATTTCAGAACAATATGCACATACGTGAAACTAGCTGTTAAATATAGTCAAATTTTGCTTAAGCCTTCTCACCCACTGAGTGGTATTTGTGAGAGATCTACCCACACTTTCCGAGGTGTATCGGTCGATATATCAACAATTGTAATCCATGTAACTGTAAGTGTTAACACGTAATTAAGATAAACTTCCAGACTAAACACGTGTGTTTGTACAGGAGAATATTATCATCAGTCATCCATGTAACTGTAAGTGTTAACACGTAATTAAGATAAACTTCAGACTAAACACTTGTGTTTGTACAGGAGAATATTATCATCAGTCATCCATGTAACTGTAAGTGTTAACACGTAATTAAGATAAACTTCCAGACTAAACACATTGTGTTTGTACAGGAGAATATTATCATCAGTCATCCATGTAACTGTAAGTGTTAACACGTAATTAAGATAAATTTCAGACAAAACATTTGTGTTTGTACAGGAGAATATTATGATCGGTCATCCATGTAACTGTAAGTGTTAACACGTAATTAAGATAAACTTCCAGACTAAACACTTGTGTTTGTACAGGAGAATATTATGATCGGTCGTCCATGTAACTGTAAGTGTTAACACGTAATTAAGATAAACTTCCAGACTAAACACGTGTGTTTGTACAGGAGAATATTATGATCAGTCATCCATGTAACTGTAAGTGTTAACACGTAATTAAGATAAACTTCCAGACTAAACACTTGTGTTTGTACAGGAGAATATTATCATCAGTCATCCATGTAACTGTAAGTGTTAACACGTAATTAAGATAAACTTCCAGACTAAACACTTGTGTTTGTACAGGAGAATATTAGCATAAGTCATCCATGTAACTGTAAGTGTTAACACGTAATTAAGATAAACTTCAGACTAAACACTTGTGTTTGTACAGGAGAATATTATGATCGGTCGTCCATGTAACTGTAAGTGTTAACACGTAATTAAGATAAACTTCCAGACTAAACACTTGTGTTTGTACAGGAGAATATTATGATCGGTCGTCCATGTAACTGTAAGTGTTAACACGTAATTAAGATAAACTTCCAGACTAAACACTTGTGTTTGTACAGGAGAATATTATGATCGGTCGTCCATGTAACTGTAAGTGTTAACACGTAATTAAGATAAACTTCCAGACTAAACACTTGTGTTTGTACAGGAGAATATTATGATCGGTCGTCCATGTAACTGTAAGTGTTAACACGTAATTAAGATAAACTTCCAGACTAAACACTTGTGTTTGTACAGGAGAATATTATGATCGGTCGTCCATGTAACTGTAAGTGTTAACAGGTAATTAGGATAACGCCCAGACTGAACAGACTTGTGTCTGTACAGGAGAATATGCAACTTCAACTGTTGAATTTTCGTATTCGGTACCAGATGTATTTCGTAGCCAGACTGGACACACATGTTTCGACAGGAGCACAGTGCATGTACAAAAGAAGAGAGCATGGGTATGAGCAAGCTTTATTGTATTATATACAGAGCATGGGATTGTCAAGTTAACTTGCATAAGTTAGCCCAAGGCGTATGTCTTGATATGGGGGCAGGTTGTTATGAATCACAGATACTAAAGGGGCAAACTAGATATATAACATGGCAATAACAGTGACTCAGTGGATGATCTGGATTAATCATAATGTCAGGGTCTGAGTACAATGTGCCAGTCTATTGTGGCATGTCATGATTTAATTAAAGAATCATTACTACGGTGACACAACACTTCGTGCTCCTGTTCTAGATAGTGCGGGTAGACCTCGACCGACCACCACAACCATCAGATGAACGACAACAACCCTCCTCAACCAGGTACCCAGAATATCCAGGTTACACCAAACACACAAGGACCCATGCAGACTGTTAACACGGCAGGAATGGTTTATGGTGGAGTTGGCAACACATATAACGAGATTTACGGGCAAGGTGAATACATGCTATCAATGGTACCCATGGATGATCGCTGCATTTGATTTAGACACTTTCAGACACCTCATTGGGGTGCTGTGTATAGCCTTCATCGGTGTTCAAATGTTTCAGAATTGTTCCTACTAAATAATAGACAGTGTAGCACAACAGGGAACCATATGTAAGCAGCAGATCATACAGCACCAGAGCAGTTCAAGTTGATATCTGTACATCCCCTGTGGAGACTACCACTGTTATATCCAAGTTCAAATCTCTGTAGGATATCACAGATCAGCTTACTGTTGCGTACAGTATATCTAGATTTATGTCGTATTGTCAGTAAGTTAATAGTGTACGATTAGTGTATTTTGTGAAATGTTCATTTATTTATTTTCACAATTCAATGACAACATAGAATGGCAACATCAATGATAGAATTTGCAATAGCCACAAAGGCCGTACGTGTGAAAAACTCTAAACTTTGGTTTTATTTGTTTACAGGCGACAAGGAACGTGTAGAAAAAAAGTAAGTAGATGCAATCTCTCATCTGAAAATAACATGAAGTAAAAGAACATTTGTGTTAAGCATGGTGGAATCAAGGATAAATCTCGCACAAAACGCCTAATAAGACGATTGTGGTCCTTCACTTTTTCTCACAGTCGCAAATAGGGTTGCGCAACAGAGAGAAAATGACCAGTGTTCCTACATGCGAGCGAACCGAGGAAAAGTTGGCAACGTACTTCCTTCGCTTAGGTTCGAAACACATTTTTAATGTCAAAATAAAACATCGCCACCATCAAAGGTATACACCCATTTCGTCATGGGGTTGTGCTCTCAGTTTTTTCAACCTCATATTGAGTAATTACGAACGTAAAATATATTTCATTAAAAACTTTAAGCGCCACTCAGTGGTATTATACCTGTGCGTTGGCGATCTCTAAGTGGTCCAATTAAAAAGGATCATGAGTTGTGTTAACGGTGATGATGGATCGATGCATTTTCTGCAGGAAAGGTGCGAACCATAAGAATGTATAAAACTGCGATTAATTTATTTTTTCATTCATGATCAGTTTATCCAATTGTAAGTTAACACGAGGCTGGGATAAGTTCCTTTGCTATGGTTAATGGTAACATAGTGACGTAACGAAACGTGGGGTGTTGCGATACTTTTCTCCATGTGTATACTCATCCCTTGTACAGGGATGTGCCATTATTAATGACGAGCTGCGGGTGTGTGGGGAGGAAAGTTTTTCTCAATATGTAGTCTTTCAGACCCTGTAATATACCATAAAGAAATATATAACACATTAATCTGTACATGGAACACTTGTGACGTCATAAATATGCTCTACAATATATTACCAGTAGAACGAATACATGAAACGCTACTTAGTTACAATTATATAGCATACTTATCTCATCATAGGTGTGATAACGAAATCCACGCAGATAATACATATCACATACGTAAAGAAGTGATAAAGTGACATATACATACCCTCTGGGTGACACCGTGGTGTGTCTATAAGCCCACACCATGAGTTCGAGAGTATAGGATTCCTATGAAATAGTACATACACCATAACCATCATGGGTAAATATGTATACTCTTATGAATGATGACAAGTACATTAATACAAACCATCTTCTTATCCAACGTTACGTTCAAAACTACCAATCAAATCATGCCACAAGCATTTAAACATGTCATGCTGGCGAATAAAGAAAGTATATTGGTTGTTTGATATGAAAGATACATATACGAATGCCAAAAATGGTTGTCACCCCCTTCAATTTTTAATTGGAGAGGGTGTGTGGTGGTTGTGTGTGAGGCGTGGGGGTTGGGGTGGGGAGGGGTTTGACAACCATTTTTGGCATGAGTATATTTGCAATACGTTACATTATATATAACATGTTTAACAGACAAGAATTCCATCTAGGTAAAGATAACGTCAATAACTCACCTGAGCTGTGTCAATGTCTTGTCCAGTCATAGTTTTGAGCGGTCTGTGGAAATGATATGGCAGAAAGCTGTAGTTATGCAATAGAGAGAGATCATCCCAACTTGCCAGCAAGCTTGTGGCAACCATCATAAGCAACATAGGGTGAAACTGAGGCGATATATTTACCGTGGAGAGCAAATAAAGAGACTAGTGAGTTCGAACCTCGTGTAGAAAAACTTGTATGATTCAAGTTAATGTTATTTATATATTTTATTGATTTATTGTGAGTTGTTTGACCATAATGCATCTAAAATATTCCTAAAAATGAAGTTCTAGGTGAAGTAATACTGTGTTGCTAACATTGCACTTTCACTGAAATGCCACAAACAACATTTCCCCATTATTAATTATTATTATAAATATTAAAGCATATAATTTTGTTACTTACTTAGATATCAATTACAAATAGGGGCATATTATAGCTGTACTGTAAGTAACAGTTCACGTTTGTGTCGTTTGGTAAGAAAGGTTGTCAATATCTAGGTATATTATGTTCTAATTATTCTACGTGTGAATCCTGGCATGTGTCTGACAACTGGTCACACCCCACGCGTTCCAACTATATAACTGTCAGCTAAGAGGTATTAAATTTTTAATGATAAAACATTGCATCCAAGATATAATACTTCATTTTTTGTACACTACTTAAACCTACCTGGTGTTAGTTAGTTATCATGAGAACATTATAAATGTATCATTTTGATTATAGTAACCGAATTTTAAGGCTCAGCTTCAGTTGACTGATCAGGGCAGAAAGCCCCCTTTTTCCCATTCACAATAATTTCAGATCGCTCTCTCTTGCTCTCCTAACTGAATAGCACTTTCTGATGAATGAGGTTGCACTGGTTGCATCATAGGTGGTAGTGGTGTTGGTGTGGTGGTTGTGTTGATGGTACTGGTGTTGGTGGTACTGGTGGTGTCGGTGGTGGTGGTGGTGGTGTCAGTGTCGGTGATGGTGGTGGTGGTGGTGTCAGAGGTGTTGGTGGTGGTGTCGGTGGTGATGTTCGTCTGTGTTGATTCCTGAGATGTCTGAGCACGGTTTCCCTTCTCAAAAACGTCTGATACCACTCGGGACACGTTGTTGTTAACTGCATGATGGCCAGAGTCTAAATGATGGTGAACCTCTCCACTAGCTCCTTTTATTGAAACATTGTCTTCCAAGTCTTCGTGAGACGCGAGGAGAAAGTGATTTTCCAGTTTTAGATGCCTCTTTTATAGACTTCTTTTGCATCTGAATACGAGCCTTACCCTGGTCCACGACTTGTTCAGAGGGTGATATAATGACAACATGAAAGTTCTTTTTGGTTTTATATTTATACCAAAACTACTAAGCCGATGCTCTAACAACCAGGCATTTTGAATAGCCTCATCTCTTAGCACATTGACAAACTGGGATTTCAAAACGAATGCTATGATAGGCATGTAACTCTCAAAATGACTCTTCCAAATACCGTAGGGGTTACACTAATCTAGATTGTAATTTATATCACCCCCTCACCACCAAACCCCACCCCCCCCACCCCACCCCCGCAGAAAACAACGTCTTTCATATTGAGTCACTGTTAATCGTTTCTTTAATAATCTATTTATTACATAATTGGTGGCAAGAATCTGTTCTCGGTCCATTTCTAAGATGTCCTGTCGAATCTCCTCACCGTCTTCAATAATGAACCATAAAATCTCGTAATGTTTCAAAGCGTACCCGGCCATTTGCAATAATTCTAGAATACAAGCTGTTACTCCCATCAGGGCTGGGATCTGAAGTATTGTATTGGAGCAAACCTCTTTGTAAACATCACCAAAAGATTATACATAAACAACCAATGCAGATATACTGTAATATTCGATACAGATTCTTGTACCGTACCAGAATCTGTATTGAAACGTCGCACTCACGAAATAAAGAAGTTGTTATCCGTTAAAAAATATTCTATATTGTACGTCTCAACTTCTAAAATGCCACTCAAACAAGAAAATATACAGTATTTTACAATAAACATCACACTCGTAGCTACACCATGAATCCACATGACTACCCCAGCGGGCCACCTCTTTCTGAAGTACTCCTACCAGGGCCGAATACGTACAGTCTGGAGACCATGTTTCATGTTCGTCCCTAGGATCATCATCTGCTTCCCAGTTCTTGATCACGAGATCACATTGTAAACACTGGCAAGAAGAATGGTACTGTCCATACACAGGTCTTGGTGTCCACATGCATCCATGATGTCCTCGGGATAGCAACAGCAACACGTGTACACAGTCCAGTGTCTTAACCTAGTATGAGCTTCACAAGTTCAGGTGATCATTTAGATTACTTGTGCAATGCAGAAAGTCCATATGTCCCTGATGGAAATGACTTTCATCATAAAACATGGGTCTGTTGACGATCGCCTCAGAATCCATCTCTGGAGCCATCTCAGGAACCATAGGGAGCTACTTGGAGTCATAGGGAGCCACATTGCAGCCATAGGGAGCCATCTGTAAAGTCATCCGTGGAACCCTCTACTCTTCTTCTGTTTCTATATAAAGATAAAGGCATCTCTGGCACAGCAGACAGAGGCATCATCTCTGCCTCAGACATCAGTACTTCAGGTCTCTGTTGTTGAGGTATGACTTCATAGAGTAACTCTTCAACAGGACTGACCCCTTGGCCAGGGTTAGTTTCAGCTCCTTAAATAGCACCGTTGGCTTGTTGATACCCATCGGTTTCTTGGAAGTCCTGGATGGTTTGAGACTCTTGGGTTTTTGGCTTGATTCTTCTCCCACAAATCAGCAAAGTCTAACAACTTTGGAGTTCGAAACATCCTTTCACAAAGTTGATCAATCTCTAACTGATTCTTGAATGCTTTATTTGAGACTCTTGGTCGGTATCTTGGTGGGTGCCGCCTTCTACTGTTGCTTCTGTTTCCTCTTTGGATAACAGTAGTTGCAGGGTGTGCTTGGGAGGTATTCCTTTTGGAGGGACGGTACTTGGCAACATATCTGTGACTTCAGGATCTTTGGAGAACAAAGGTAGCGTGCAGGTTGCTCACCGGTGATCATAGCTGGGCAGGTGAGCCAAGAATTTCACCTGCAGTTTGTCCAGTAGTTTGATGTACAACAAATTATTGCCCAAGGGCATAGGGTGTCCATTCCTCAACTTTAACACGGCTGCTTGGTGCTTGTTCAGGAATGTCTCCCCTGCATTTTCTGCTGCACACACATTGTTCACACCTCTTAGAAACAGCGAGGAGATCATAGTTTCCCTCAGTCAACTCACAGAAACGGCCCATCAACCCATACAGTGTCTCCCTTTTAGGACAAGTACCATCAACCCATACGGTGTCTCCCTTTTAGGACAAGTACAATCAACCCATACAGTGTCTCCCTTTTAGGACAAGTATAATCAACCCATACAGTGTCTCCCTTTTAGGACAAGTACCATCAACCCATACAGTGTCTCCCTTTTAGGACAAGTACCATCGACCCATACAGTGTCTCCCTTTTAGGTCAAGTACCTGCCAACTAGCGGATGATCAA